TTGGCAGCAGCAATCAGCACTTTTCCTACACACACAAACGCACACACACACACACACACACACACACACACACACACCTACGCACACACGGACACACACACACACACACACACACGCACACACACCTACACACGCACACACACACGCACACGGATACACACACGCACACACACACACACCAGCTAAATGCATTCATATAAACTTAAGCGTTTTGTCATTTCTTTTCATTTTCTTTGTTGCCACCACTTTTCTCCTCTTTCCCCTTTTCTTTGTCTCCCCATTTGTTCATTTTTTAGCTTCTCCTATTTTGGTCTTCATCTTATCCCAAGGCGCAATAAATGCATTTTTCCATTTCCTTTTCAGCTCGTTTCTCCTCCTCCTCCTCTTCCTTCCAGTTTTTCCCCTGCTCTGTATCTCTTCCTCTGTCTTTTCTTCCTCTCCTCGCCCCACACTCTCCTCACATAATCTCACATCCTCCTCTCTGCTTGCTGCGTTTTTCGCTGTGACAGTCTAAGTAGGTCGGCGGTGACAGCTGAGCTCCTTGCAGACTGAGAGAAGACGTTATTTCTGCTCAGTGTGGGTTTTCCGAACATTCGCTGAACGGTTGCAGGTTTGGGAAGTAATGTGACCCTGCTGAACCAGATCGACCTCTGGGTCGGTTTCTGGATCCTCAATGTCTCTTTGAGCAAACTGAGTTTGTGGTCACTTCAGTGGGTTTCACTCAGATGTTCAAACTCAATCAAATTATCGTAGTTGCTGCTGAAGCTGAGAGAAACAGTGAATGATCATCTTCAGAACATAAAGTTAATTCAAAGAGTTGCTACAGTGAAAACCTGTGGGAGGGGAAGATCTCTAAACGTCTGTGCTAAGAGAAAAATGAAGACATTTGTGATCACTGCAAAAACACAAAACTTTATAAAGTATTTTTTGTCTAGTTTCTAAATATTGTAGCATACTTGAAATGAAACAAAACTAACTTCCAAGTGACTTTTAAAAAAGATACTTGTTTTAAATCATTTCCTTAATATTGATGAAAAAGTTTTAGTTCTGCTGGCAGATTCTTCCAGTTCTATAAATATTTTCTTCCATGTTATAAATGAAATAATCTGAAAATGGACCTGGACCTTTTCCATCAACACACAGTTCAACTTTATTCAACTGAAGGAAAGTTGAGAAAACAGCAGAGTAAATCAGCAATTGAGAATTTATCTGGAAATGTTTATTTAGGGGAAGCGAAGTGTGCTAAATGTTTTTAAAATTAGCAAAAGCGCTAAATATAAAAATTAGCGTGACTATTAACACATTAGCAGATTAATTAGTAGTTTCAGATTGCTGACTTCTACTTCTTTATTTCATTTCTTGTCATTACAAATCATTTCAGTCATAAAAATAGTTTTTAATTGTTGGATTCCTAATCAATAAATCCACATTTTGATTTTACTTTGCTATATTTTATTGATTCTATGCAATGTATATCTCCATTGTTTTCAATAGTAGCATATATTTTTAAATAGCTCACATCATTATTTTTACATGAACTCTTCATGTTCTCAGTTCATTTATATTAATTTAATGACCAATATCTTGGAAAACAGAAGAAAACAGCTCAGCTGAATACATGGAGGAACGATGACGTTACATTAGAAACGTCATCGTTTCATGCATTACCCTGTGGCAGGAGTAGTAACAGAAAAGTCTGCAGCTGTAGATGAGAAATTATTCATTTTAAACAATAGAAAGGACAATCATGTAATTAATTTCATTCTTTAAACGATCTAAACATGAGGAAACGTGCACCATCAACACTGACCATCTTGTTTTCCATCTGGTTGTAAAATAAAACTCAGCAGCTTCACTTCAGTGGTTTTCTTCTTCTCCTCACTGACAGTAATTCATCACAATTCTCTGTTTATGTGAAATTCCCCAGAGTCCTCCACTCCAGAGTTTAAATGGGAAGAACTGATCTGATTAATTTGGTTGATGCTTTTCTACTCTCCTGCAGCCTCTTGTCACTGCAGCTGTTTGCTGTTTGTGCAGAGTGTTTTCTTTTTTTCTTTTCTTTTTTTAACTGCTGCCAAATTTCTGGCACAATGAGAGCAGTGTGAATGAACCAAAACAGAAAAAGAGCCGACAGCTGAGCAACAAGGTGGAACTTCTGAACGTCTGACGGAGCTGCTGCTTCGTGTCTTCATTCTTCACAGGTTTCCTGCCCTCACTGACCCGTTTCACACTATCCTTCAAAAACATAATGCTCGCTGCCACCGTAAAGCCGCTGCTCATAGGCTTAACCTCTGCTCTGCTGCAAGAGTTTAACGCCGTAAAACAAGCTGCTCACGCTGCAAAGACACAAAGACTTAACAAATATTTATGTTAATGCTCTAGTGCAAATATCTTAGTACATTTGAAATGTACTAAGATATTGCTGTTATTTTCAGCAAAATATTGGAGCTTGTTTTAAGCCATTAGTCTTTAATATTGATGAAAAAGTAACATGGCAAAACCGTTTGGTTATAAGTACTAGTACTAGTACTAGTACTAGTACTAGTACTTTTTCATCAATATTAAGAAGTTATTCACTTGAAGCTGCAGTATGTAACTTAAATGAAATTATTTTTTTTACATATTTATTGAAACTGAGACATAATCTGTTAACAAATCGAGCTCCCAGTGCTCCCAGTACTAACTAGAAACAACCGATCACAGCCAGGAGATGGGTCTTAGCGCTGTCAATCACCCTCCTTGTGGTGCTGCTCATCCCCCCCCTTACATCCTGCCTGCTACGCTGCAGCTAGCAAAACCAGTCGTGAATGCTAAGGCTAGCTGGCATAGCTACTGATGACGGTGGATAAACAGTTTTCCTCTACCGTTAAAAAGTTGTTTCTCCACCATTAGCATATTTAGCAGCGAGTACATGAGATTGATTGGCAGCGCTTACTGGCTCTGATTCATTGTGCATTTCTTCTTACAGCAGTAAAAGCTCAGGGAGGAGCAGGAGGAGATCGATCCTTTCACAGATTTTCTGTCTCATACAACATGGTGACCGTTTCAACAAATATGTAAAAAACATATAAAGTTTCATATCTTATATCTTGCTAAAAAGTTACTTGTACGTTAGTTTTGTCTTATTTCAAGTGTACTAAGATATTTGCAGTGGAAACTAAACTAAATTACCTGGAAATATTTTGTGTTTTTGCAGTGCAGACGCACAAATTTATTTATGTAACTGAATCAAATGATGCTGCAGATTAACGTCTGGCCAATATGGACAATCATGTTTTATAAGAGCCATCTGAAGAAGGTGAGTGTGTGACCACACACACACACCACACACACACACACACACACACACGTACAGAGGCAATAAATGTCACTGATTGCTGGTGAGGTGATGGGCAGGTTGAGAGTCTCTTCAGTCAAGTGATGACAGCGAACTGATCTGCAGGATTTATGGAAATCTGCTGGGAGTTAGTGAGTCAAGCTAATGATCCAGCTGGGTCAGAACCCGTTGTCCAGTTTTATGGCCCAAAAGATGACGAGGAGGGAAGGTCAGAGGTCAGAGGTTCAATCAATTCAGACCTTCTTTCATTGGCTCTTTTTTGGCAGATTGATAGTAACAGCCAGTAAGAGTTGAGTTATCAACCTTTAGAGCATCCGTCCATCCATTTCATGATGATGCAGGGATTACTGCATATCACCAAAGGTCGTTGGATGAATGGTGGAGAGGTCACCAGTATCTTTTAAGCACTTTATGATTTAAGAAGTTATTACTTTATAAATCATAAATTAGTGTAAAAAGTTTTCTATCTATAGCAGATTGCATTGAGTCATTGAGACGGATTAATACCTGCAGGAAGGAATCACAGTAAAGCAGAAGACCAGAACAAGTGTGGCTCCTATGGAGAGAAAAATAACTGAAAACAAAAAGTTAATAGTTGAAATTGTAGCAAATAATGGAGAGTAGTAGAAGGAGAACGTGAGCTGATTAGTGACAGTTAAAGATTTAATTTCGATAATAGTAACATTAATTTGTATATTTTGCTGTAAGAACATTTTACAGGAATCAGCAAAGGCTTCTGGGACTTTTTGTTGAAAATGTACGCTAGAAAGTCTCCATGTTGGGCAGGGAAGATGAAGTGGATGGAACCTGAACTACAGCTGCAGCTTTGTGGTTTTACGGTGCTAAACATTTCTTTTTGATTAAACATTTAGAGTATTTTGTTTCAGTCTTTTCCTACTTTAGATCTTATATTTTCTGTTAAATTCAGATTATACAGTGGGGTAAACTGTCTTTTTCTTCACAAACTCATTTAAATCCAGTCCCATTTAACATCAAAATCATTTGAGGAAAAGTCAAAAGATAAGTAAACCTGAAATGAAGTGAAAGTGGTTTTAGTTCAGATGGTTTAGTTGTTCTCCTCAGTCAGATGATTTGGTTTGGTTGAAATATATCTGGAAAGATACTCAAACTCTGGGTAAAAGTGCCTGCAAAATCATAACATCAGTATATTGGGCTGAACTTCTGATTAATGCGATTAAACATTTAACGTCAAATTGGATTGTGTGCCGTTGAATCTAACATTTCTCTATGGATGTATCTGAATTAGTTTGATATATTCTGTATTTTTGGCCTATTTAGAAACCGAATGTATATGAATAAACATAATTTAGATAAATAAGCAGCAAAAGCTGAAAGCAGAGCCAGTTAAAGAGCTGAGTAGACGGAGGAAATGGCGACTGAATGGAGCAGAGGAGTGTCATCCCTGCTTGGGCAGCAGATTATTTGCAGAGCCACAGATTCCCGGCTGCCTTGTTTGGCCTCCTGCTTGTCTGTCACTCTGAGTGTTTCTGTGTTTCTATATGTTATATGAACATGAGACGCTGTAAGTTTCAGTCAGTTGACCAAGTCTATATGTGCCTGTGGGCATATCAGCGTGGTGCAGGATGGAGACTTTGTCACATTTGCAGCTGAGTGTAGGTGACAGTGTATGAATCTGTGGTGGAGCACAAACTGACCGGTTATTTTTACTCCTCCATTTAAAATCTGCTTGCAGATGCAGAAGTGCAGGATGTTCCTGTCATCGTGTTTTCCAGCAGTTTTAACTCTCCTCTTCAACTCGTCTCTCCTCCTGCCTTACGCTCCTTTCCCCCCTCTGTCAGGCAGAGTTACATGTCATGATGATGGAGATGATCCAAACATATGCATGCCTGCACATATTTTGGCCTGAACGTTTGTATCTGCCAATGTTTGTCATTTTTTAACCTGTCAGTATCAGCTTGATATGTCACATTTCTATTTGTGTTTCTGCAGGACACGGGATTAGCAACGTTCTGTTTGTTTAGTCTTATGTCAGCTGGGGTTTTTTGTTTTGTTTTATTTTTATGCTGTCAAAGGGGTGGGTCAGTTTGTTGTGCTAACACTAAAGCACTAATCATAAACACTAGTTCTGCTGATGCTAAAACTCTACAACAGCACAGCATTTAGCAGAAGCTAATGCTAACTCACTAACTTCAATTTAAACTGTATGTGCCCTTGAAAACCTACAACTCTCAAGCACCGATTTCATTTTGACATAATTTATATGTTCTATAAAGCATGTGTAAGAACAAGGGAAAACAAAATATATATTTATGCTTTTATTTTTTATGATGTCAGTTTTGGTCCTCCATAAAAGTCTATTTTGTTAAAGGTTAGTTATACAAAGACAAACACTTTGTGTTTTACATTTTCCATTGTAAGAAAATTACAAATTAAGAGTCTGCAACAGCCACTGCCAGCCATATTTGTATCATCTTTAAATTGAAGTTCAGGGCCGCACAAAATCAGTCCAAGGACCACAAACAGCCCCTGGGCCACATTTTGGACAGCCCTGTTTCTGCTGTCCATGTTTTATTTTGCTCCTGTATTTCTAGAAAGCACTGAGTTTTCTCAGCAACGCTTTGCAGCTTTGTAATGAACTGTGGCTTCGGCAAAGCTAATTTTATCTGCATTTACCTGATGGCATCCTTGAAGCAGAAATATCTGAGCACATTACAAAGTCACGGAAGAGGAAGAGAAGAGTATTGCTGCTGGGAATCATCTGCAACCAGTCCCGACTTGTCTCATGAATAAAATTTGTCAACAAATTTGAAACAGAGTTACAACAGTGTCAAAACTGTTGGAAACGTTAAGAAGTGACAAAATCATCACCTAAGACATTTAATATCTGGGTTTCACCAACGTCAGAAAGTGTTTAATGTGTCATAAGAAGGAAAAAGTGTGTTGCAAAGTGACATCAGTTCTACCATAATTGCTTTTTGTTGGAATGTGTTGCATGTTTTCCATTTTTGACTAACCAAACTGGATTTGGAAGGACAGACCAACCTTTTATTTCTAACCATTTCAAACTTGTGTCTCTCGTCTTCAGGTATGTCCACGCCCTCTACCTGGGTGCCCAGAGCCGGTGGCACAGGAACGGGCCCCGCCGTCACTTCCACTGGAGGCTGATGTTTGAGAGCGCAGACATCACCATGCTGCGCCTGCTGGAGGCCTTCCTGAAGTCTGCGCCGCAGCTCGTCCTGCAGCTGAGCATCATGATCCACGGGAACGGCGTGCTGCCGCTGCAAGGTCAGAGAGGCGCCGCGTCGCCTTCACACTCAATGTTTCATGGAAAGATTTTTTATTTAGAGGAAAGATTCTATAAACATCTAGTTTAGGAAACTGATTCGGTTTAAATCTGTCTTTTGACTTTACTGTTATAATTTTTTAACAATTTTTCAGCCCTGTACAGTTTCTCCAAGAATCCTATTTGGCTGCTTTTCACACCTGATTCCAGTCAAATGTTTAAATGCTCAGTATTTTACGCTTCCCATAATCTATAGTCTATAATCTATACACAATAGATTATAGACTATAATCTATAGCCTTTTAAAGTTATAATATGATAGAGTAGCCATTTACAAGGTAAAACAGCAGAATGGTTTTTAATTAGTAGATATGAGTAAAACCAGCAAGAAGCCTGAGTTAAGTTGCCACCCCCAGAGGTCATCAAAGGTCAACCAACACCTCAACATTTTAGAGTCAATGAACTCTGCTAAAATATTTTAGCAGCACAAACCAACACAATTTGCACAATTAATAAATGTCGATTTTGTTTGATTTTGTTAATGATATCTGGGGACTTTTGGAAACTTTTTTTAATCTTAAAAACTACAATGGCAAAAAGGTAAATGTACATCCAGGTGTAACAGCAGTAAAGTGAAAGGCATGTGGGTTCACACAAAGATAAAAGTATAAAACTAAATGAACATATTATAAGGACTAAAACACACAAACATGAACTACTGTTTGAATCATGTTTGACCCTGGAATTGTTTCCCAAAATGCTTCGGTCCATGTGAACACAGGCTAAGCAACAGAAAAACTCCTGCAGATGCATGGAATCTCTTTTCCAACGTTTTGGTTAAGGTTAGTGTTAGCAACAGACTGGTAATGTGTTGGGTGAGGCATGGATGTCAGTAAAACAGGTAGAAATACAAAAATCTGTGTGTGTGAGTCCTGAAGGCAGATATCGGTGGGAGAGTCTATGCTTTATTTATGCCACTCTTACAAGAAGCAGATTGTTCTTTGATGAATAAAACAAAACAATGCTCCTTTCTCCAGCTTCACACACTCACACACACACACACACACATACACACTCACACACACACACACACACACACACACACACACCTGGCTGCAGCAGCAGAGGACGAGCACTGGAAACACAGGAATGACACATAAAACCTACAAACACACACAGAGACATGAACACACACACGTGTGCCTGAAGAAGTGCTAAAGACGAATCCTTCACATTTCCGTAAGACAGGAGAGAAGAGGGGCTGTCTGTCAGTCTGCCCCAGGGCAGCTGTGGCTACAGTGTAGCCTGCCACCATCAGCATGTGACTCTGTGTGTGAATGACTGAATGTAGTGTGAAGTGCTTTGGAGTCCTCTGGGCTTGATAAAGTGCTGTACAAGTTCAGGCCATTTACTGTTTTGCTGTCTGCAGTGTAAGGGAACATTTGTTCCAAACAAATGTGCAGCTGCCCAACCCGACCCGACCCGACCCGACCTGGTTCGGCCCGGCTCAGTTCCTGTTTCTGGTCATTTTGCATCAGATTTTCTGTGGTGTTTACGGTCATCAGGGTAGAACAGGTGGTGACTAGATTCTGCTCTGTTTCAGTTTAGCTGAGCAATTTTTTTATTTTGGACTTGAGTGTTTTTTCTAAACCTTGAAAACCTTTATCTTCCCCTGAATTTAGTTTTACAGATAAGTTATGTAATTGGCTGTTTTATAAACTTTGACATCTGCGTTGAATATTTGGTTATCGACTGCTAAGAAATATTCAAGTAGTTAGGTGTTAATATTCATGCTCTTATTTTGAAGTGGGTGAATACTCTGTAGTATTTCTTTCCTCTCCTCATATTCTCTCTCTTTTTTCCCTGATAATGTTATTTTAAACAAAAAACACGTAGGAACAAGATAAAACACGCAGAGAATAGAACACAGTCATAAATACATCATGTAAAGTTATTATAGTACAGGTAAATTATATCAAATATATAACTGTTTTCCACTTACAATCATAAATATATGGAATTATGCAAAAAAATTACATCTAATCACATTAAAGATGTTAGTAAAAACAGAAAACTGTATCCTCCATGAAGTGTTTATCTTAAATCAGAGCATCTTAAATGGCAGAGATCTCCACACCCTGAAGACAAACCTTGTGCCCACTGACCATAACAGCTTTGCATGGATAGTGACATGCCTGGCTGACAGTGGAGTAAATCAGCCCAGCTCCGTGTTTCTCCAGAAAAGGCAGTAAATGTGCTCTGACAGTCACTGGAAGCGCACTCGGGTCCCTCTGAGAACGTTACTGCATGCAGCTCCACTGAACACTCCTACTGTCTGTGGAGGAAACCCGAAACAACCGCGGCCTGCTGAAATGGAGGTCAGCATCACTCGCTGTAACCGGGTCTGCAGTTCCAGCAAAGAAGACACATTTATAATGTTTTCAAGAGCATCATTGTGGAAAAAACAATAATGACGATAAAAAAATATGAAAATAAATGACACACAGTTACAGAAGAGAATTAAACGGCACAAAGGGACAGCGTGTACAAACCGAGAGTGGGATTCAACTGCAACGTAAAATTAAGGATATTTTTTGTCTTGTTTACATTTATTGTTTATTAAATTCTGAATTATTTTTTCACCTCGTGTGGATTTTATTTCCAGTTAAAAATAAATCAAAATAAAAGCATGGATTAGCAAATAAAACCATGTGCAACATCAGCAAGCACAACACAGGAGTAAAATAGGGTTGGCAAATAAATGCACTGGCAATCAGATAAACACATTAGTAGGTTAGTTAATAATTGGGTTAGCAAATGAAAAAATTGGAAACAAACTGAGAAACAAGTTGAAACAAATAAGTTAATTATTGCTTTAAAAAATATTTGACTTTTCAAAGAAAAATAGTGCAGTACATCAAATTTATAGTAAAGGAAAGTTGCACAAACACACATCTAGTTACTGGTTTTGAATAGAGAGGATCCTGCAAACTTGATCTGTAAGACATTTATTAACAACATCCAACCTTTTTATCAGATTAATGGTTTGAACAGCAACAAAAACATCATTTCAAACTTTTAAAGTTTGAAGATGTTGGACCTTAACCATAAACTCGTAAACTTATTTAAAGAAAACATTTCTTACATTCGAGTAAAAACCATCAGGGAAGTGGCTGCCTAAAAAACACCCAGAAAAAATTTATTCAATTAGAGAAAATCATTTAAAGCAACATTGATCAAAAATAACATTAAAATGCAAAGTTGAGGTGCCTCTGCTTTAATTCGCTGCCATCTCAGTGTGATCCGTGGATAATTTCAGACAAGCTAACTTAATTAACACACATGAATGTTTAATGTGTTGAACTGTGCTCCGTGCAGCTCATGGTGGGCCACAAAGTTTAATTTGCAAGCTGGTGATTCTTCAGCTCACTGCAAACTGTCATGATCCTCACTGTTCCTGTCAGCTGTAATGTTGCTCCACCGCTCTGCCCCTCCCGCCTCGGCTGTCTGCTGATTGCTGATTGATGTCACCTGTCCCACTGCCGACATTAACTCCTGCTTTGAACTCTCATGTCCATGTCTGTGGTCATGTGTCTGACCTGCTTTCTGCCTCCTGATAATCTGGGAGAATCTGTTCTGTTGGGGACCACAGATGTAACATTTGTTACAGTTTCAGCTGGTGTGGTTTGCATTGAATCAAACAAACTAAACCCACTGAAAAAACTGTTCCATTCTGAAATATGCCTATAAAACTTGTTTGACCTTTCCTGGGTTGTGGTTGTTGTTTGGTTGTGGTTGTTTTTTATGCAGTCAGTCCAACTGACTGCATAAAATAAAACTGCTGTAAGAAGAAACACCAAGAGTCTATGATGGGCCTTTTAAAGAGCCAAGGTGATGAGATGCTAATACGTTCAAGTGATCTGGTTGAAATTCGGTAAACATAACTACACTTAAACAATCAAAAGGTGTCGGAGACACAGGGTCTTTACTGCATCCAGTTTTTTTTTCCTTTTTTGTCCTGACATCAACGTAAATCAAAGAAGGTCTTAAGAATTCAAAACATTAAAGTGGTACTTTTCTGTTTCCTACCTATAGTCTATTTTAGTTATTTTTTCCTCCCACTTCCTGTTTCACCAGGCCTCTCAGCTTCAGCATCTCTGGTTTCACTGGCCTGGATGATCGCCTCCTACCAGAAGGTTCTCCGAGACTCTCGTGACGACAAGCTGCCCATGTCCTACAAGGCCGTGATCGCCCAGATGCTGTGGCACTTCTTCACCATCGGGGCGAGGACCGTGGCTTTCGCCCTTTTTGCCTCTGTCTTCCAGCTCTACTTTGGCATTTTCATCGTCAGCCATTGGTGTGTAATTTTTGATCAAACTCAAAATGTTTGCATTCAGACTAAGATGCTTCCTTTAAGAGTATCAGTACTTAAGATGGTGATTTGAAATATTGAATATACCTGTAAAAAAAACAACATGATTACATGTAGCTTTACCTCTGTTGATGTGCTTTAGGTGTGTGATGACCTTCTGGATTATCCAGGGTGAGACTGACTTCTGCATGTCCAAGTGGGAAGAAATCATCTACAACATGGTCGTGGGTATCATTTACATCTTTTGCTGGTTCAACGTCAAGGAAGGGCCCAGTCGCTTCCGTATGGCTCTGTATTACTCCGTGACTCTGGCTGAGAACGTGGCGCTAACCGCGGCCTGGTATACCTACCGTGGCCCCCAAACAAGTGACTCATCCGCCCTGGTAGTGGTGTGCCTGGTGGCCTGCAGCTTTGCCCTGGGAACCTTCTTCATGTTGGTGTACTACTGCTGGCTGCACCCGGACGGGCCTGTTCTGGGCTCCCAGTGGGGAGGATGCGTCGATGAGGGTGTGGTAGGAACAGGGGGGATGGTGGGAGTTATTGACTCTTGCCTTACTCCATCGCAAGGGTCCCAAACGGATATGGTCATTACCAGTCCTCCACGGACTTTGCCCAGGACTAAGGATAAAGACTTGGGGGATCCGGTTCCTGGGGAGCGGGACAGAGACAAGGACAGCTGCCTACCTGTCTTCCAGGTACGCCCCTCCCCTTCCTCCTCTCCCGCTCTGCTGCACAGGACCTCCTCCACATCCCGTGCACAAGAGGGTCCTGTGATCAGGATTGACCTCCCAAGAAAGCGATACCCAGCCTGGGACGCACACTTTATCGACCGCCGCCTCCGCAAGACCATCCTGCTTCTGGAGACCACCTCGGCCATAAGTCCACGGATACAGTACAGGAGCAGCTTGATGGGCAGCAAAGAGGTGTTAGAATATGAGACAACTGTTTAAGCCAACAGCGGCTGTTAAACTACAAAGTGCAGTCTGGGTCCAAGGCTCAGCCCGGAATCAGTCTTCAACCCAGGAATATCTGTGCCGGGAGTAACATGAAAAGAAGAAAGAGTGTCGGGCGACTCTCATTGAAAAAAGAGGTTGTCAAACTGCGATTGTGAAATGTGAACCTCAATGTGGGACCAAAGCTGTTGAAGAACATATAGCAAGAATTACCTGTTGGAAGTTCATGGAGTATACTGAGCCAGGATTGTCTCATTTTCTAACACTTCAAACAAGAGGAATTTAATCTTACACAAGGGACCAGTAAGTGTTAGATTTTGTTTCAACCTGGACGGTGAGGACAACAAGTAAAAGGACACCAGAGAAATAAAGCTTGAGATAATTAAAAAAAAAAAAACAGTCTGCTACATGAACTGAAGCCTCAGGCCACAGAGACAGAACAGAAATGTATGACATGTTGAAGAAACAGATTGTCAGAGTGTTCATGGGGCATACAATCATTTTGGGTTTGGGCAAAATACATAAATCTACAGCCTATAGATTTGGCATTCACAGATGCTGAGTCATTGTCTACAACCAAATTCATCCCAGGTTTAGCCAAGATAAACAGACACCTCTTCCCAATCAGTCACTTCGGCATGCTTCAGAGAATTACAATGACTTGCAAGAATACACACAGACGAGTCCGAGTCGATTTGTTGCAAGGGTTGCTTTGTTCTTTCCATCCAGTCATGTCCCCAAAAGGTTGCATGTGCCTCACAAATCTTTGGTAATTGTGCTCTTTAAACATTTTGTCAGAGGCGTATAAAGGAAAAAGCTGCTCGAATTCCCCAGCAGGGCCTTGGCTTTCATCCGATGATGGATCGTAACTCAGTCTAAGCTCAGACGGTCCATGAAACGTAGGCCTGCAATACAACTGATACCAATTCACCCATCCATTTGTGCCACAACTGCAGCCATAGCACAAGTCTCACTGTTTACATCTTAGCTGCACTGTCGACCCCAGCACCAACGGACTTGCTTGGAAAGCTGAACGAGGATCTGATAAGTGGATGTACGTGAGCAGCTTCTCAAACTGCTACCGATGGATGGCATGCTGTAAATCGCCAGAAACAGGTCTGTGATGTACAGTTGAATAAATGCAGATGTCCAATACTGTATAAGATGTTAAAATAAGCTGTAGTTAGGTGACGAATGCCTTTTGTGAGTAAGGAAGCTTCATTTACTCGTAAGAGTCTAAATGTTGTCCAAAGTGGTTCACTTTTTTCTAAAAATCATATTATGTAGGATAAGGAGGATATCACGGTCTATTTCAGTATACTATGAACTGGTTTTTAAGGGTTTGATTTTGAGGGCAAAAATAACAAAAAGAAATATAACACTTGTTTAAAGTTAACTGTCAAGACAAAGAGTACAGATATGTTTTTGCAAACTAGGTAGTTGCAATAGTTGATGTCTTTTGTAACAAAAAGGATATGCCCACCGTCTAAGTTCTTTTGTTGGGTTTGGTTTCTTTGGAGGACCATCATGTTTTAAGATTAAGAAAGTTCTGCCTCCCCCTTCAGGCAGGGAGAGCATTAACTGTATAAACAACGCTGGTGCTTGGAGTGTATATCGTTGGTGGACGTGGTCACTGAATCAAGAAGTTAAACAGAAGTGAGAAAGTTCCTAAAAGTGCAACAGCACTGATTAGTGGCTCTGGCTCCAGTAGTTTCCAATTGAAAAAAAAAACATCTTTTGGATACAAATCTTTATGGTCTCCATTGTTTTGGTCCTTAATTCAGTCCAAACTAAGGCTTTACTGTCAGGTTTTAAAAAGGTCAATATTCTGCTAAATTAGAGGATTTTAAACTACAAACTACCAACCAACAGGCGATGCCCAGAGACTAAATCCATTTGTTTTATAATCTACAGTTGGTTTTGTTTGGAGAACACATTCCTTTAAATGCATAACTTTGGGCAGAAGTTTACTTTGCCACTATTAGGCATGGGCCGGTATGAGATACTCACAACTTTGATTAAAAATTCTTGATTTAATTACTTTTATCTAAAATAGAAACTCAACAATTGTTCAGAAAGTTACATATTTATGATGGTGTTAAGATGATGTTATTGTTCATTCTGCCCATGGATGGACCAGACCTTTACCCTAGCAGAGTTGTTAGGTCATATGAGTTTGCTTGTCTGGGCCACTTGCATCTGAAGAACGTCTATGAGGGAGTATGAGTCGCCTGGTTTGCTTTGAAGGGCTATCTGGTCATTTTACACCAAAACCAATGCTGTCTCGAATGTTTAGCACAACAAAGATGCTTATTCCCAGTGCAGGATGGACTCCACTCTTTGATCGAAGTCCTAGGCCCCTTTGGATGTTTTCCAAGCATGCACAACTGGAAGGAGACTCCAGAGCAGAGAAGACTGGAAGCACAGAGAAGACTGGATATATTCCCAAACCACCAAATTTGTCCTTTTTGTAAGCAAGGAAAGAGTATAGAACCTTTATTTCAATCAGCTCATCAACAAGAAGAGGGAAAGGCAGCACTCAGGCTCATCCATGCAGTTGGTCAAACTTACCTTATTCCAGTGAATTTGTGGAAGCCCAGTAAAATGACTTTAAACTGTAGGAACTTTTTAGTAGTCTAAAAACCCTTGTATGCCTTGATACTGGTTACCGGCCCATGCCTGATCAATTTAGACTCCATACACTGAGGCAACAATCAACAGTTCAGGTCTGATGCTTTTGGATGTGGGCATTTTTTGGCAGCATGTCAGTTATTGAATAAACATTGGATGTTGCTCTTTCTTTTAATGTTGTGTATGAAAAAGAAGGGTGCAGTGAAGACAGAAGGAAAGTGGCTGAATCAATGTGTCTGTTCTCGTTTTTCATCTTGGACAATTCAAAACCGCAGGTGACGGGGATACATTGTTGAGTTTTTAACGAATCAACAACCAGCAGCGTTTGGATTTTTCTTTTCATATTTTCATGAGACATTTTCTAAGTTAGTTTAACTGGAGGCTTGTTAAAGATGCAGATGGATCCTCAACATATCAGATTTGTCTTTCAGCTGATAACCAAAGTTAGTAATTAGCTGGTTGGAAACCATTGGATTGCTAAAAACAGATGGTTCTCCAGCTTTTGCTACCTAGGATGCAGCTTCGGAGGTCAAAGTTTAGCCCCACCACTAACAGGGTGTGGCTAAATGTCACTATCTGCTAGAGAATGAAAGATATTGCCTGGTCAGCAACAGCTTCACTTTCATCTTCATCAAACTATTTCTCCCCAACAGCCTCTTTGAACTTAGACTTAGTCTTTTTCTGAAGCCGTTAGGTGAGGTTCCCGTCTAAAAGTTGGTCTGACTTGGTAAAAAGTGGAGGTCTCTTTCTGTCTCTTTGAGAAAAACTTACAGCAATGTAGTGATTATGTGTAAAGTGGTAACATTTACTCAAAGGTGGGTGTTTTTTCTTATAGAAATACTATCCTTGTGCATGCCATCAGTTAAATGGGGTTTTTCAGCTATGTTGCTGTAACATCAAGATGTTGAGGCTCAGTAAGAATGCAGTAGATCTCAGTGTTTGAGGAAGATCCCAGTCCATAGCTCCTTGATGCAGGTACCAATGAACACCATAATACAGCTATGAAGATTCTCAATATATCAGAAGACAATAAATTTGGAGATTTCTGTTGCTGCCACGTTGAGTGAACAAAACCGATTGTTGCATTCTAAGAACTCTGAGAAATATCAAAAAAGACTCAAACGCCGGTACATTGTGACCCTAAGAGCATCTTCTGTTCTTGCTTTATTATGTCCTCAGTCGTCGTCCGTTGAGTGTTTTACTGATGGCGCAAACACACTCTTCTGTTTCCTGACGTGTTTGAAGGATTGCTTCATTGAGTGTTCAGTGGAACGTAAAGAAAACCCAGTCTGTGTCATTAAAAGACAGTAGGACAGAGGTGCTCTGACTCTTACATAATGCCCTCCACACTTACTGGCTCACTGGTAGAGATGTGTAAAGAAGTTTTAACTTTCCATTGAAGCTGCATAATTTCACTCCAGGTCTTTGCACTTAAAGTCTTCTCCTTTAATGTTTCAGAAGGTTGGAGCGAGCAGAGAGAGGGATCTTTAACGGTTTCGTGCAGACTTCAGCCCGCAGGGTTATTTACAGGGTTTGGATCCGCGGACTGAGAGCGAATAGAAAAGGATTTTAAACCTTGAGAACCCTTATATTGATTTGCCTTCTGCATCAGCTCCAAGTGCTCAACATGCCACTCAATCTTGAAATATTCCAAGATATTTGGAAGAGAAACTGGCTCACAGCTTACAGGTCAATCGCCATAATTAACAATGAACACGGGAAGGTTTACCACATATTACTTTCTTGTTTTACACCTGATATACCTGGACTGTTGCTGAAAAGCTCAATCTCATAATAGTTTATGTCCGAGCAGGGATGAGCAAACTCCACATAATTATATTTTTGGTGGTGGGACTTTTTCCAGACAGTGTCTAATGGTGATAAAGACTGGATGAGCCTCTCTGCCACTCATTGGCACATTGGAGATGCATATTTGTCCTTTACCACCCTCCTTACTGTGTGGGGACCAGATAAACTCATCCAGACATGTTTGTTGAAGGGCCAGTTGTAAAACCTTTAGGTTGAGGGGATTTTTTTTTTCTGGAAGCTATTTTCTTACTTGCCTGTTTTGTTGGCCATTAAAGCCTATAAGACACATTGGTCAACTTCAAAATTATTATTTTACAGAGATTTTAAGTGTAGCCATTATGATATAGGAATTTTTTTTTTTTTTTTACTTTGGTGTTTATTTATCCCCTCACTTTGCTACAATAAAATATTTATCTTAAGACTTTGACACATCTGTACCAATAAGTGGGAAGGGCATCAACCATGATCCAGATCATTCAGGAAGGCAAACAAAAGCAAACAGCCGCAGTTTGATGATGCAGACCGTGTCCTACCTGAACCCGGGGACGTCAGTCCACTGGTGACATACACAAAGGTGTTAATGGTGCTGAAAACAATGACTTTTTGTTACAAATGATCATGACCTGACAGGCTAATGTGCGGCTGGTGCATACACAAACCACCCAGTCACAGGCCAAGGTACACTTTGCTTTCTCTGATTGGGTCATGCAGCAGTTTTTCTGTCGTTAAGCTAAGATAACAGTTGATAGTAATGTGCTGATTATATATTGACTTGAACAAGAACATGTTTAAATGTTATCGAGTCCAAAAGCTCGAATCATCTTTTGTTAATTAATGCAAGGAGTTTATGTTGATTTATTTTTGTATTTGTTTTATATCTATTTATCTATTGTTTGCTCACTTGGTGGCCATGTCTTTGGTATGACTCTTTTATTAAGATGTAAAATATGAAAATAGTTTGTTTTTTTTACTCATTCTATATTTCTGTAAATATCAGAGTGATACTATTCTAGGATGTGCGTGTTCAAGTATGTGTGCTTTGGTATGTAAGTATGTTGTGTATGTAAAGTATGTGTGTACTGTAAGGATGTGCTCTCAGTTTCCTCTTCTACTTTGTTTTTGATAATGCCGCTTAAACATCCTTTGAGTGAGCAAGCAGAAAAATAAACCTGTGGTGAAAATTATCTATGACGATGTTAAAAAAAAAAGAAGAAAAACAAAGAACTCAACAAGCTGTGCTGATTACTGTAGGTGGGAAAAATACTGTAGTAAACATGGCTCAACAGCCATCAGAATAAACTCAACAGGCCTGAGTTTGTGTCTTCTTTGATGCATGACAGCTGAAAGTCGGTGGATTATTTAACTTCTACTTTTTTCACAAATTAAAGGTGTATTAAAGGTGTTGTTTTTCCTTCTAAATATGGATCTTTTATTGTTTAGGAAAAATCTGCATAATTTTTGTGTTTGTGGAGAACTTCTTATAGTGCAGATCTCAGAAAAATCAAGAATCACATGCATCAAAGTTCATGATAAAACCAAACGTTCATTCTTCATGGATTTGTTATGAATTTATAGAAATGTATATGACCTACTTGTTATGTCTGGTAAAAGTAAATAAAATAAATAAATAAATAAATAACTAAATAAAAATACAACAAAAATTCACAGAGCAGGGTTTATCTATTAGAAGAAGTTAAGTCATGCTAAAATGCATAAATTGGTTCTTTATGCTGATATTTTTGTGTTTCTGTGCAAACTGGGACATTTTTGTGTAAATTTGTTTTATTCTTCAAAATTTGTAACTAAAGTTTTCACACTATCACCAGTAAAGACCCCAAAAAAACCCAAAAGTTGCTAAATATAGAGACGAAGTCATTAGGTGGCAATAACCCCAAGCCCCACAATTGGCCACGCCCCTTGGTATCTCTTCACTCCGCCCACTTCAGTGAAATTTTTCAACATTTTTCTGGGGTGGAGTAATGCTTTTAGTTGCTCTTTTACGTAAATGCAGTTGGAATGGCATGTCATATTAGAGATACAGTGACTGTTAAGACTTCCTGTTAGTCAGTGATGAAACTCTTCTGGACACATTGACTCTTTGCAAAGTTCAGTCTGAAGAACCACTCTGGATATTTTCTCTATCCAAAGAAACAAGTGAAAAACAAGAAAGCTCAAAAGATAAATGTCCTACCTCAGATTCTAGTTGCCTAGGTAACCAGATGATCATTAAGCTATTAGCTCAGCAGATACTAGCGAACGGTTGCCTTGACATTAGGTGCAGAAGGATGCTGAGGCTGTTTGTGTGAGACTCCTTTGGCTCCATCAGCAGAATTTCCCCTCTTTTCGTTTTCTCTACGTTATAGCCCATAAGTTAACCTTCATCACAGTGCTGCCCTCTTTTGGCCAAACGTGTTTACTGAAATCACAAATTCATGGTTTCCATGGTGTGAATCTGAAGAAAGTTACGTCAAACTTCAACTCTCTGCTATTCCAGATTCTGCAGAAACCACTACTTATAAATGCTTTTGTATTGTGTTGTAATAAGAGTAGAATAACTGTACCCTGTAGGGATTAAAAAATGCTGCACACAGATAGTTAGGCAGGTATTTCTGTAATCTGCATCATCTCCTGTTTGGCTGCAGGTAGTAAATTGTTTAAAAATGCATCACTAGTGCCTTCACAATGTATTTGCGCAGCATTTTCACTGAAATAATGAGAGCGAGTGTTAGAAGCCTGAAATCATCCCAACAGCCACCAGCTATCAAACGCGCAGTACTGGGTGCAGCTCTGTTTATCTTCTTGTTCTAAGTGTTTCACCCAAGGCAGCTGTTTGCACCCATAGTAGATAAATGCAAAAGGCTTTAAAACAAATTCTGCTCCTATTACAACAGTCTTACTTTACACTGTAAACAGAAAAAGCAACTTTTATTTTTATATATTTGTTCTTTGAAAAGGAAAATTTGTTTCATCAAAGCCACATATGCTGCAGTATGTAACTTTTATAAAAATATAATTTTTACATATTTGTTGAAACTATCAAGAAGTCGTGACAGTATGATATGAGACAAATATAATCTGTGCATAAACCGAGCTCTTCTGCCTTTTCCCAGTGCTATCCAGAGCCAGAAGGAGGGTCTTAGTGTTGTCAATCACCCTCGGTGTGGCGCTGCTTATCGCTCTTCCAAAGAACATTGGAGGGAAGCTAGTACATCCTGTCATGAATGCTAAAGATAGTTAGCATAGGCACTGATGACAACAGATAAACAGTTTTTCTGTAATGGGGAGTTGTTTCTCTGCTATTAATACATTTAGCAGCAAGTACATGAGGATGATTGGCAGCTCAAAGACCCCCCCCCCTCCTGGCCCATTTATTTGCTGCAGTTTTATGCTATCAGTTGTGATTGTGGAAGGAAGATGGAGTACCTGGAGAGAACCCATGAATGCACAGGGAGAACATGCAAGCTCCGTGCTGGAAGACCTGCATGGAGTGGAAGTAGATGTCTTCCAACTATCAGTGTAATGCACAGTATATGTATACATATTGCATGTCTATTTTCATAAACAGTGAAAATACTGATCTCTAAATCTCCTTCAGAGTAAGTAAGCAGTAGCAGAAAGCAATAGCAGAGTGTTTTGGAAAGGCTGGTTTGATTACAATGAGGCCTGGAGTGTTCAACATTCACTGAGTTTATTAATCTGTTTGCTGTAATGACATAATGTCAAACCTGGGATGAAAAATAAAATCTTTTTTAACTAAAATCCCATAAAGAGAAAGGCCTTTGAAAATCACCTGTATGGTAAAGAGAATTGGATATGACACTTGTCTCTGCACAAATACAAATTTAAAAAGGGAATTTTGAGCTGTATAATTTGTGTGTTTTATCAGAGAGGAGAGAATGGATGTTATCAGTCGTTGGTGGAGTTTCCTCTCGGACAGGAAGTGGACTTCCTTCGCTTCCTGCTCTCTCTTCATGCCCAAAGTGTTTGTGTGTGTGTTTGAGAGGTCTCAGCAGAGTAGACAATCAGTGTAGAAGCAGAAAAGGGCATATATGACACGCAATAAATGAACTCAGACTTATAGGAACAAAGAGGCAGAAAACGGTAGAACAACTGAGAGACAGGAGCCACAACATCTGAGTGGAAACTGTGAGAAGGATCCCAACTTTCTGACCCAGAACAGAGCCGCCACGATGGACTACGAACCAAAGAAACCGAAGAAGGTACTTATTTTATTTCCATTTTTTTATGTTATTAATATCTTGAGGCTACTCTATCCAAATGGAAAATGTTTTGATGTTGGAAACGTGTTGATTTTGCTTAAAATTGCCCAAAATAACAGAAAGTAATTTGAAAGCAACAGAAACAACAGAGTTTGACTTATCAGGATTGACTTCTTGGATTGATTCATGTCTCTTTTATATTAGCAGCCATGTTTTTAGTAGTATTCTCTATGAACTAATATCTGCCAGTATGAACTCTCTTTTTATTTTTGTTACAAAATTATGGTGTGCAGAGTTTTTGACATGCACAGAATAGATTGGTTACATTTTGTCTCTTTGTCATCAAAACACTTTTTAAAAGACATTTTATAGTAATGATAAAAATGTTTCCACTGCAGTCATATTCATTCTGATGAGGCTCAGATTTAAAGCACCTTCTGAAAATAATCTTTATCTGTCATTAAAGGCTACATTTCTATAATAAAGCATGTTTTTTTTAACTGATCTGATGTAATACTCTGTTTTTAAATGTCAAGTTTTCATTGCCTGTAAGTGGAAAATCATCATAATTAACAGAAGTCAAGGCTGTAAAACACCAGTCTGTAATTAATCTATAAAACATGTTTCACTTTATGACAAAGTACCTGAAATAAACAAATTTTTCAATAATATTCTAATTAATTTAATTGGTCTGTATGTAAATGTAAACATTTGAGTCTTTAGTATTCCCTGGATACGATGGTAAATATTCTTATTTAATTCAGTTCAGATCGTTGATATAGTCAAATCACATCAGGTGTAATTTATATCCTGGTACAGTTCCATTTGGACCCAATTTAATTCAAATCATAAAGTCAGATTAAAAACCCAGTACATTACAATGACACTTTTATTGTTCAATGATATAATCAAGAATATGGTGACAGTTGACAGAAAATTGCATCATATTTAATGCCAGAACATCAGAGGATTTGTCTGTTTTTCTTCCCAGACTTTCGTTTCACCCATTAAGCGTCTGGTCTGGTCCAGATCTGGCCGCAGGGCCGTAGACCGCGGCAGCGTTTACCGCCGGCCGCTCCACACCGTCCCCCTCTACCCACCGGATTACCTCATCCACCCCGAGCGGCTCATCTTTGATTACGTGGAAAAGGAAGTGAAGGTAAGAAACGATGAAGAACAGAACTGAAACGGTAAAAAGAGAAGCTTTAAACTGCTTAATGTTTGACCTCTTCTCTTAGTTCCTGGGTCACCTGACTTGGGTGTCAGTTTCATTAAATCCATCAAGCAGGGATGAACTTCTGCAGCTGCTGGACACAGCCAGGGTTGGTAGTTTTTACTGATCTATAACTCATTAACCTAAATGTTTTTTTATTATTAACTTAAGCTTTAGTCGCCAGTTAATGATCAACTGCAGAAACTCCTACAGCTTTCCAGCAGTGATATGAGAATAAAGCAGCTCTGCTCTTGTCTTCCAAACTTATTCCATAGTTTGGAAGATGCTTTACTACAGATAAAGGTTAGATTGCACTGGGATGTTTTGGGGTTTTTTCCACAATACTTTGAATTTCAGTCTCTCTATATATAGAGAATATTTCTACACCTCCACCATCAGTTTCAGCCTTGCTGTGGAGGAGAAAACAATATTTAAATCAGACACAGGAAGGGTTGCAGGTTACATATGCTGATGTAATTAAGTGTATTCATTTCTGAATGGTAAAGTGATTTGTGTGGATAGAGAAATAATGCACAAAGTTCAGAATTTGTTCTTCACTCTGAACTGATTGACCTTGATTTAGTTTTGCTTCCAATAAAGAAATATTAGATTGTAAACCTTATCTGCTTCTGCAGCAGCATATTTTCCAGTTTTCATCATCGATAAATGAATGTCGCATTTAAAATTCACAACTTTGCTGTATTGATTTCCCAGCTTGATGGCCTTTCAACTTCCTTGAAGAAATACTGTAGGAATGTGGACCGTGGACGCTGACGTAGCATTCTTTAGCATTGAGTTGCTTTCTGACCAAAACTCTGCAAAGACCCTCAACCTTCTGGCTGATTTCTCACATAATGTCGATAATAGAGCC